CCTCCAAGCAACAATTGCCCAAAAAACTGCGATGGAGAGCTATTGGGAGACTAGAGGCAGGACAAAGTCAGGCAGAACTGGCCAGATGGCTAGATGTGAATCTTTCTCTGGATTATAACTTTGGCAACAATTAATAGCCACAGATTCGGCATCCAGAAGGTTCACGCAAGGACAGCCAATCGCTACGACGACCCTGATAACCGATATTGCCCACGAAGAAACATAATCTCAACTCCAACTCAACTCAGATCCTCCCTTGCTACAGCCACTAAAAGGTTGGCGTCAACGTCAACCGTGCGTACAAGGCTTCATAAAGGAAGTGTCTACGCTACCAGCCATTTGAGTGCCGCTCAGGTCACGTCATAAAAGGGAATGTCTCAGGTGGGCACATCAACATGTCCACTGAACAGCTGAACAATGGAGAGGCTCTTTACGGATGAGTCCAGGTTTAACCTCCAAAGCAATAGTAGGCGTTATTTAACTTGAAGAGAACCTGGAACCCGTTATCATCCATCAAACATCTGTGAAATAGATGCATACGGAAGAGGCAGTGTCTGTGTTTGGGGTGATATCTCTTTGGATATCTCTTTGGATGTACGTACAGATCTCCATGTTTTCCACGTTAAACCATTGATGCTCAAGTCTATAAAGATAACATCCTTGGTGCTTATGTGCACCCTTATGCCGGGGTAATAGGTGATAATTTCCTGCTGTAGGACGACAATGCGAGACCGCACAGTGCTCGCATCGTGGATGATTATCTTCAACAGCAAACAGTTCAGCGCATGGAGTGGCCAGCTCGATCACTGGAATTGAATCCTAGCGAATATGTTTGAAATGCTTTAGGAAGACTTATAGCTGCCCTCAGTCCACTTCTTCAGATCCTTGCAGCGCTTCACCTTCCTTGCAACAGCAGTGGCTCTTACGGAACTAATACACTGCATAAGTGACGTTGGTGTTGGTGTATTTAATTATGGCAAAGCACACTAGGGCTATCTTCCTAAGAGGTGGAATGCCTTTGTGGAGGACTTTCTAAGGGAAACTGGCTCGTATACACGTTACACACGGGGAAAACCACGAAAACACCCATGCAGCCAGCCCGTTCGCGGGATTCGAACTTCGGACCGAACTACCAGTGTTCAGCGACTTTGCCGTTCGGCCGCTGGTGGGCTACTGCATAAGTGACAGCATCGCATATTGCTGTACATGTTGTATTGCTTCTAGGGGGTATTATACTCCATAATGAAGGTAATTTACCTATACTAAACTGACACATCCGATTTGTTAATTTTACACATATGCTAATTTCTATAACACCATAATTATCTGGTAATTTCTTTTCATCTTATTTTATACCTTACTATATGTTGAATGCGGTGGGTCAGTTTCATTAAATTCTACTTTTAACTTTTTGAGTACTCGTCATTTTTGTGATTTTCCTTAACTAATGATAACCAGTGTATATTATTTGGTGGATGTTTATATCTTTCACAAAGCTTTCGAATTTGCTTTCCTCCGCATACAGATATGCTGAAAGAAGGAAACAGAAGAAATGGCAGAAAGAAGCTACTCAGTTCATACTTAATTCATTTTTAATTTTTGCCTTCTTAAAAGTCTCTCGTTGATAAAAATAAACTTTATTTACACTTGTTGTCATTATCAAAGAGGAATATTTCAAGCTAATTTCGAATGCGTGGCATTTTAGGAAGAAACAGTGATCTTAGTTAATGAGTTTATCCAGTGGTAGCACAAACTAATTAGTGGCCTAACTGATGTTAGCCTTTTTAAGTACGTTTTGCGACCTTAATCAATACACATTCCCTATGCCATGGTGCTGGATTATCAGAAAATGGAAGAAATTTCCTATTTTTAGTTCATTTTTAGTTCTGAAGAAATATCAAAACAAAACGAGCTAGGTAATATTTGAAATTAATTGGTTTAATATTTTGAATGTATAACTGTTGAATACACCCATTTTTTTAAGTTTCTTTACTTCGTATCTTTCTTTAATCTGATATCTAAACTAATACCAAGGCGATATGTTTTATAGTGTTTAGAAGTAAACTGATATTTCGGAACTCCCATAACGGAGCAGGTATTGCTGAAATAAAATTCTTGTTAAACTATCTTCGAAAAAATTTACATTTTTGTTTTAAAATGCACCTGGTTGCAGTGACTGATTTATTGCAATAACTCAAAATATTCTTTCTAATAGAAAATTCTAAAGTTTTCAATATGATGCCCAACTATAAGCAGCATATATAATAATAATAAAACTAAGTTGAATATTAAATGAACTGTTTAAAGTAAAGTTGTAGATTCCAATCTTTAAGTTACAGCTAAAAATGAGGAACCTTAAGAACTGATAAGCGAATAATCGCTTAGTTAAGTAGACAGAGAGCAGAACTTCAGAAGCGCTAAATACCCTTTATTATTCAAAATAAATTTAACAGTCGACTCTTTCTTGGAATTTACAACAAAGCCTCCACTTGGGCTTGAACTCAGGAGTACTAAGAAATAAAACTTAACTAAACTAAAAAGATATAGCCAAAGCTATCAGGATTCTAACAGAGTTGGCCCTTTAACGCTAACTAAATGGCGAAGCTATCAAGGGCCTAAAGTACGGACAAGCGTAATAATATCTCAAGAAAGAGTAGCCTAAAAGGCGAACGCGAGCTGTTCAGAATCTCTGGCTCTCTAACGAAGTCAGTAGAACTTCAACTTTAAATACTTGTTCTTCCTTCATTTGCCGCTTCTAAAAACACGTTCTGGTAGGAAATTGTAAGCTGAAATTAAGAAGTGACAGGAAAGTGGCTTAAACTAAACATTAATTGTTATAAACTTAGGATAAACCTTACAAAGTCTACAAGCATGCATTATAATTATTTATTATATACTTTTATACAGTGCTAAAAACGTGCTTTCTAATTATATTCTAGATATGCAGTTTTATGGATCAAAAACATCTTTTATTAATTATAGTAATATTGAAAAAAATTTTCAGTTAAACAAATTGTAAGTTACATCCATTTTAAATTATATTAATCACATAGATTATTAAAATAAAACCGCGATCAGTATCCGCATAAGTAATGTACAGAAGTGACAGTCACTTGTGGCTTACGGATTGTCTGTAATGTTGGAAGTGACTGTTTGAAGCTACTTAATAAATTATTAGGTAAGTTTATTGCTTTCAGATCGCTCAGTTTCACAATATTTTTAATTCGAAAGAAAAATTTCGTAACGTTAAATATCAGTACTTCAGAAACTGGTAATTTGGAATGCCATGTGGAAGATCTTATACTTTAAGACCTTATACTCTGTTCAGTGGCAATACTTGCCAAATCAAGCTTAATGGTAGATGTCCTGGTAAAGTAACATAACGTTACATACCTTCCATGTAAAAGCCCATAAATTTGGAAACACACCGCTATGACATAAAAATCAAGGCAAACTATCAGAACTCTAATAAATTACAACATGAATAAACGAGAAGGAGAAATCAGGAGGAACAATTCAATATGAGTGACTCGTTCATGTTTTTGTTACGATGATAAACTTCAAGAATCATTTAATTATAATATTATAATTGAAAACTGCCTGTTACACCCGCATTTAATGCAGCTTTCATCTTTTAAACAGTAAGCAGCAATCAGTCGCTTACAAACTTCAAGGGAGTTACACGGTACTATGCAATCATTAAACCTTCATATTACTACAGATTCTTTTCGGTGACTAAAAGCTACAGAAAAACTAATGGTATTACAAAGGCCAAGAATACATACTTCCAAGAAATAATAATACGAATACATAACCCAAGAAAGTTACTTTGTTCGTTAATCTTGATGATACTCTCATACTTTGAGACTGAGGTTTTTTAAGATACGATTATTTTTTTAATAAGTTATTGGATCCTAGTACAATTTCTTGTACATGGAATGCATTACAATATTTTTTGGATCGTCACATCTACCTCGTCAGTCAATGGCCAGAGTGAAATTATAAAGATTGCAACCGAGAAATTATTAGGATTATTAGGAAATACGTTCATTGGTGGCATATTAAATTTTTAATATTTCCCCCTTTTAAATTCCTCTTAGTCTTTATGTCTGATGCTTGAACATTGGAAGATTCGCCAACTTCGACTAGAAAACTAGGAAAATGAGCCAGAGTAAAAGATTAAAAGCAAACCTTTTAGACCTTTTTTTCGTTGCCTGGCTTAAATCTTGTCATATTAAAGCAATTACGCGCAGGTCTTGCGTTCGACACAGATTACAGCACAGTGAAGCGACGTCCTCAAGAATTCCTTCTCCCTTCCCCCAAATATAAACACCTCTCATAGATTTCTCGCGCTTGTGTGTACGAAACTTTTTTTAATTATTATTATGGTTAATCAATACGCAAATATGTTGGCACTGACAATACATTTTTATACGTATAATAACAACACATAAAATGTTTTAAATGCATTATAATGCTTGTGATTTGGGTAAAACCTTTAATGCTCTTCAACCAAATAACTCCCTTTTTCAAAGAGTGAATGATTAAATTGAAATATTATTTTTTCTTATAGAATACATTCATATAAATATGTCCTTGTGCGGTTTACGATAAGATTTCCATCTAGGAGGATATTTTTCTCATTCCAAAGTGCTCTATTTCCTTTTTACAGTACAAAGTTGAGTGTTGAACACCCTTCATATATTGTCATGTGATACTCGAAAAGAAATGATTGACATCATCAACTTATCTCTTAACTGAATTAATATAGTAATAAATAGTTAGCATTAATGTTTAAGAAAAGCAACAGAACCCACTGATATACCGGTCTCGGTGCAATCTTCTTTCGTTAGGTTTCTCCGTGAATAACATAATACGCAATATGCATTCAATTAATTTACTTTTTCCTCCAAATACACTTGGAAAGAAAAGCTGGAGCAAGCGCATCCGCCCGCTCCACTGACGCGTTACAAAAAAAGAATTGATTGACACTGACTCACCGGTATCCTGGAGTAGGAAGTAAGCCACACATAACCCTCCGTTTCATGTGTAGGCTGGGGTTGAGGGAAGAATTCCACACTAGGAACGCCTGTATCTTCTGGATACTGGCGCTTAGTCCTTCGCGAAGAGTGCTCCGAATACTCCTCCGCCGGCGCAAAAACGGCGGAAGCGCGCCACAACCTGGCCGTGAGGTAGAAATCGAGGCACAGGCCCAGGTAGAGAACGGCCAGCAGACCGTACACGAGTCGCAGGCGCTCGGCGGCCGCGCCGGCCATGACTGTGCTGCGTGTGGGGGGCCACGCGCTCCTCAACTTCCAGCCAATGGACGCTCGCGGCAGCTCCACTAGTGATCAAGGGATGGCAGGCTGTTACGAACGCGCGTGCCGTTGGCGCCTCAGTTTCATGGATTTGTGGTTGGTTATATGAAAATAACCGCATATTTAAGAACGAGAATGTATTAAATAAATGCCTTTCTCCTGTGAATTTTTTGGTTTCTATTGCGTCGTCTTTTCTTTTAGCTTAAATAGCAAAAATTAATGATGCATTATTTATCGAATGTTTTCCTTGTCATTTTCTCTCAACCTCTAAACTGTTTACTATAATTTAAATTCATTTGCATGCTCAACTCTTGCTTCTGTTGGTATATTCAAATTATAAATTTACATAGATTACACTAATTTAACTTTACATAGATTTCCTTAATTTGAAAGATTTATTCATCTGTCAGACATAATTCAAAAAAGAGGGAAATGTACTTCCTTGCTAGTATAGCAGCTAAAAATAATTCCTGGAAATTTTTGGACTTCTTACTTAAGCTACCTTCTTTAAATAAAACCATTGGGGACCTGATCTTCAAAGTACAAAAACTTACATAAAACAATACATTACACTTATGCATCTAGAATATGGATATTTTATTAAATGGATACTGGATACAATATGTATATTTTACTGTAAAAATTACTATCCTCCAAACAACATCCCTTTTCTTTGCAAATACAAAGAAATTATCGAACTTCTTCCATGTTGTATGCATCACAGTTTCAGGCATTTTACCAGTGCATGTACAAGAAGATAAAGCTAAGAAATTCACACAGTTTCAACTAAACCGGAAAATTTATTATCATGGTGTAATTTTTACTCCTGGTAATTTTGAAAATCCTGAATCACTTTCCTGTTCACGTCCTGCATTATCTGTAAATTATACCCACATTAGTTTGAAAAAAAAATCATCACCTGCTCTTCTTGTAGTTTATGCAGGACAGGAAGAAATTTATAGCATAGCAGTGCCGGAAGACTATACCATTGACTGTACAGGTACAATCCCACCACACTAACTGTATATATAGCCCTCAGTTTTTGATGAAGTCTAACTGCATCCTCCCCAATTTTGATGGAGAGCACTCCAGGTAACGAATCTGGGAGTGTTCAATCCTCGCCCCCAAACATCAATGCATTTTCCGAGATTCGAACCTGAGCTCAATAATATGGCAGCCAAGATCATTATACCCTTGTAACGATAACCATTTTGCCGATCAAGGCAATTCTTTCACTTTACATCAGGAAATGGGAGAGAATGGCTGCCACTTCTTATCCTAGTCAAATTAATTTGGATTATCAATTTGTTTCTGCTGAACGTATTTACTGACCTCTCCAAATTCTTAATTTATATTAAAATGTATAGATATACACAGATATACAAACAAAATTCAGTTATACAATTTTAGGAAATTACAGTGCAATATCATTACATAATTCACAATTACATAATTTACTGCAATAATACATGCAGTAGTAAGCATTATTATACATTATATTATTTATTATTAAGTAAATTGCATTTTCTTAAAGATATTGCATATAATTAATACACTCACTTCCAAAAGTTAAGCACGAAGATATAAAATGCAAAAAAATCACCAAATACTGCTTTGATTGACACAAAATTTGGCAAGAATGTAGCATATATATTTATGCATAAAATAAAATCAATAATTATATACAGAAATGAAAACAATATTAAATTTTTGTAAGTTTAATGAAATACTGGAGACTTAAACAGAATTATGTATAAAGGGAAAATAAACAGCATAAAATGAAAAAAAGGACATTAATAGGGTATGTGATCCCCCCTCATCTGTATACAAAGTTTACACCTTGTGACCATGCTTTCAATTAGGTGGTCAACCACCGCAGAATTAAGCAATCGCCATTCTTTTTGTAGAGCAGTTTTCAGCTCAATAAGAGTGGCTGGAGGGGGGAAAAGTGAAGATACAGCACGTACGAGAGCATCCCAAAGATTTTCAATAGGATTAAGGTCGAGCGAATATGCTGGCCACGCCATACGCGCAATCCCTTCACTCTCCAAGTAATCATAGACGTTGTCAGCTCTATGGGGACGTGCGTTATCGTCCATTAAAACAAAAGTAGGGCCAACTGCTGCAGCGTACAATCTCACAATGGGTTCTAGGACTTCAGCTCGATATCGGACAGCCGTCAAAGAACCCCGTTTAAAGATGTGCAGGTCGGTGCGGTATCCTAATGAAATCCCTGCCCACAATATAATGCTTCCGCCTCGGAATGCGTGATGTTCGGTGATGTTTTGGGACTAATTGCATGTTCATTGTTCACGCCATATCCTTATATGCTTGTCATCTGGCTCCAGAGCAAATCTTGACTCATCAGTAAACATGACATTGCCCCAGTCAGACGCATTCCAATTGACATGTTCCCGGCACCACCCTAATCGTTCCCCTCTTGATTGGAGGAATAGAGGAACAAAAACTTGAGGTACCCGGGTATATAGTCCACTCATATATAATCTTCGGCGTACAGGCTGCAGATATCGCCTTACCAATAGTCACTGTAACCATAGATATCATAGGTGTGGAGGCCGTTCTGCGATTCCGCTTCGCTACAATAGCAATATATCGATCTTGCGCGGGGGTTGTAACCCTTGAGCGACCGGCTACGGGCCTTCGGACAACTGTCTGTGTGGTTTGGAATTATTTCTATAAACGTGAAATTAGAGAATGATGAACGCTGAAAAAAAGAGCAACATCTGTGATCGACTGTCCTGCTTCAATGCGCCCCACAGCACGGCAGCACTCAGAATCTTCCATTCGTCTTTTGAAAGTTATAGAAACACGTATGTCTTGAAAACAAATTGTACGAATGTTTTAAACACCTCAGCACTTACAATCAACTTCTGTAACCCTTCATAAAGCTGGCTTCTTATAAGACTGCCTTTTTTGCATATTTCTTGACATAAAAGCGCGATTGGCTGTTACCTAATATATTTGCATACTTCCATCTACCTCTGCAGCGAATTGCATCCTTTTCAATTTTGATTGGCTTCCGGAAATTAGCATTTTCCTCTCCGTGCTTAACTTTTGGAAGTGAGTATAATACATTGATGACCATTTATATTACGAATATAGTTATTGAAAACTTCTAATCAAGGCTTCATTTTGGAGAATCGCCTTCGAATGCTGTCTAAGACGACTTCACAGTCTATCATCACGTTTAGGCGTCAACTGTTCTTGAACCGCACAGAAAACGCACTCGCTTAATATGGAATATATTTAAGTAAACGGGAAAGCTCCACGTCCAGTTAGGATTTGATTCAAGAAGAAGTCACTTATAAGACGAGATAATTTAACTTTTGGAAGTAGTTTATGAGTTATATTACTAATGTCTTGGCTGTTCCATCTCATTGCCATTCTTGTAGAACTTCTGATTTTAAAGAAGATTTTAGATAACATTTTGGGATCTATAGTTCCAGAGAAATTCCATCTTGAATACCTTGTTTGGGGTATTCGTCATCTTTCTCATTTCCATAAAATTCGACGTATCCTATAATCCAGTGGAAATCCATTTTTAGTTTAGATACCATATTTTTGAATTTCTTTGAAATTTCTGAAATGAATACCTTGATTAGAATAAATATTCTTTTATATATTAATCTGCTGACGGCGTCTTTGAATAAATCGTGTATTAATAAATTTTCTCAACTTAGATGACTTGGTAATTTATTAATATTAATTTAATCCATATTTTTTTCTTTTTTTTTAAATTTGGAAGAGGATACTATTGTGTTTTTTAATTAATTGCGAATAACTTCCTAGAAAAACTACTTTTTCTAATTTGAGTCTTCATATTGCATCTCAGAATTATTACATACATTTAAGCAAAATATAATTATCTTTAAATACAGTTTACCTAAAATTTTAATACATCGTCGAATATAAAAGAAAATAATCATAAAATAATTTACAATCATCTTGTCGTAAGGCATTACATACTACAAGATCTTCTTAATGAATGCTTTAAACTGAACCTATTCTAAAGTAAAATTTATTCACATTTACTTTTCTGTTTTAATTTTGATTATTTCTATATTTATTACACCTCAAAGCATTTCTTATGAAAATTTTATAGTACAGCGGGTCGCTATTTTTTTATTTGATATCATGTAACATTAAGTTTCCTGTTAATATGCTTATGTTAAAAAAATATCTTACGTGTTTTAATTAATTTATTTATTTATTATTGTTTATTTCAGATTCACATAAATTGAAACATTATAACATATAATTTTAGTGCTAAACAATTAAATTAGAGGAATGTTAGCAATATTTTTACCTACCTTTTAAATAAAAAATAATGTACTGTAAACCAATAAACATGTTACACAGATTTATCTCATTAAATACAGTAAAATAGCTCAAACTTTCAAACAAATGCAGTTACATGTCTTATATAAGCTTACTGTTGTTTGCTTACTCCGCTATTCATTGATTAGTTACAAAAAATACTTTTTTTCTGACAGCAAATTCAACGATCATGTCCACTATCCAACTTTGTATAATTTTATAAGTTTTGTCTTAATAAACACAGATTTCGCTTTATGTCAAATATATCCTTTGCTTCTTTAACTCCCTGCAGTAACTTTACCAGAATTACGAATTACGAATTCCAATAAAATTTAATTAAAGAAAGACACACAGCAACTTAGCCAGTGGTGGTATAATAATTCCATCTGCATGATTAGATGATTTCCGACTTTTGCTAGCATTTGCATTTAGATTGGTTTGGATTTGGTTTATTTAATTATAGCAAAGCACGCGAGGTCTATCTGTTTAAGGGAAGGGATGCCTTCGTGGTGCACTTTCCAAGAGAAACACATTACACATTACACTCGTGTACACATTACACATGAGAAAATTCCCGAAACCGCCCATGCAGCCAGCCCATTCGTCTGGAATCGAATCCCGGTCGGAACTACCAGTTTGCAGCGTTTTTTTACCGCTCGGCCGCTGATGGGCAGTTGCGTCTAAAAGTCGCACTTAATTAAGAGGTGGTTTCTTAGATACTTAATTTTCTCTCTGTTATATGCATTTACTTTGCTGTATTCCAAGCATTCCACGAGAATCG